TTTTCTTTCGTGAAAGCATTGGAAATCTTATTGCTCACAAATAAGCACTAAGACATTGCTATCTTTTACAATTTCATCCCAAATAATTTCTGTAACCATACAAATTTATGAAATAACCTTCCTATCTGAGATGAATTACAGAGAACAAGCAAGCTGTAAATAAATAAAATGCTATAAAGTGTTGTTTCTTTGTTCATTAAAATATTTCTTTGGCTCTTACACAAGTAGTAGGTGAAAACAGCTGCAAAAGGTAAAGAAAAATCTTTGTAATTTAAACATCTGAGAGTGCAGATCACTGAATTAATAAGCTGCAATTGGTAACAAGATCTATATTTGGGAAACAGATTTGCAAAATCATCCTTGAGAAGTTTCCTAATGTTTCTCTACAAGGTTACCTAAAATACAATTTCAGACTCAAAAGTCAGAGGCACAGTGGTCCATATTAGAGAAGTTTAACAAATTCCAAGTCCTGGCAGAGGACCCCTGGGGCACTGGAAGGGGATGCACAGGCAGGATGAGGGTGTTCCAAGCCTGCCACACGCCTGGATCTGCAGTTTTCAAGTCAGAGGTCACAACCCCAGGAAGGGTCACCCACTTAGGAAGGAGTCAATTGTTGTTCGTGGCATTAGGGACCTTCAGCATGACAGAGGTGATGCTTGTAGATGGCAGAAAGGTCACAAGCAGAAAGGTTTGGGAAGCACTGACCCAGATAATTGCAGGGAACTGCTCTCTCCTTCAGCAATCAGGGAAAAGTGACAAAATGTTTTCTCTGGGCCGGGAGGAAAATGGGTGAAAACTTCCAAGTTTAGCAGAAACCTTCCAGTCTAAATCATTTTATGGCAAACACAAGTCAGTCACAGGACTGGCACATGCTGAGAAAAGAGAACTGGACTTCAGCTCTTCAACCTCTCTGTGGAGAGCCAGCCCAGGCCACGCTGGGGGGGGAAGAGGAAAGGCCACCACTTTTTCCTTATTTGTTTCATTTTAAATTTTTTTTTTTACCTTCCACTCAAATAAAGGTAACTATTTTCAGTGCAGAGCCACACCTGCCCAGTGGCACCTCAGTCCTACAGAACACACCTCAACAAGAGTCCAAACACCAGAGGAGGACAGACATGATCCCAACATCTACTGAGGGAGGAGCTGCACTCCCGGCTCCATGGGAAAACCAGAGGAAGGCTCCCTGCCCATGGCAGGAGGGGATACTGGATGATGTTTAAGGTCCCTTCACCCCAAATCACTCTGGGATTCTGTGGTGACTCTGCAGAGATGGCAGATCAATCCTCCTGGTTTGAGGGAACTCCCCTCCTGCAGACCAGCCCTGACCACGCTCCAGCCTTATTCCAGCGAAGATTCTGGAAGTGCTGCAGTTCCCTTTGGGCCACATTAAGGAGCAGCTCTTCCTGCACTCCATGTCCCTCCTGGGTGGGCACTGACCAGCCAAAATGTCATGGTAACACCTCCAGCTCTGTCACTGAGGGTTGTCTCCAAGAAGGAGAAGACTTTGCTCTTCCAAAGATGTCTCTGTGTGAAAGGTTTTAAAATAAAGGTCCAAAGGCTTCTGTAATCACTGACTAATCCAGGTCTTCCCTGACTAGAGGATTTTAGTAGGAAACCAAGTGCACCGGGAACAGCTGGTTCATGCATATTGTTACAAAATTCTATCAATTTTTTTTAAAAAAGCCCTAATTTTCTGTAAATATGCTGAAACAATCTAAGAAGTTGGCACACATCATCATAGAAAAAATAAAAACAGAGCAAAAACCTCCACACCCTTTAGAACTCAACATACTCCTAGAACAAGCTGAAAGATAAGATTAAGGCTCTTGTGACATACCACTAAAGTATATATGTATAAATACAAATGTATACAAATACACAAAAATATAAAATCAAAGCTGCATGGGAGTCAAAATAACAAAAGAATAAGTTTTCATAAGCCTTTCTTGGCATAACACCAGCACTGTAACCTTTTTTCCTCTGCTTTTCTTTTTATAAATAGACAGAACCTTTGAACAGAAGGACAAAGGAAACACATCCAAACACACTGACATTAGTCACCAATACGCTCTTTAAACGGATATTTAGGCAAAACAGACCGGAATGATACTTCTCCACCCAAAAAAATATCCATTAGAGTATTAAACATTATACATTTTTAATTAAGCACTTCAGCTCCAAAATTCAGCCAGGCTTCTGACCACCACTGATAAAGCACAAGAAGTGAATTAAAGAAGTTTCCTAATCAAAGCAGCAGCTGCAGCATCTCCTACCCTTGGCCAATAGCACATCCCAAGAGATTTCTGTTTGGACCATTTTCAAAGATATTTATTACACTGCAAGTAGGAGTAGAAAGAGTGTAAATGAGCTCTTGTGTAGCAGTCGATTGCATGGCCACATGTCAATCAGATGTGTGCACCTATTTCCACAAAATGGCTCCTCAAAGCCATTCCACATCACCAAAGTACCCCTCATTTAAATGAAAAGAGCATTTAAAAAAGGCACAGAAAAGTTATGAGCTAAGTATTTTACATTTGCATCATGTGAATTTTCATTTCTTAAAACCTTTCCCCCTCAATACCAAACTCTAAACCAATTTGCAGATATCTGAAAATGAAATTGATCACTTGTGATCATCAATTCTATCAGTGGACAGAAATAAAAGGCTTTCATAAGCTGTGACTTAAGAATAAAGATGAAAATAAATCAAAATGAGTACTTATCAAAAATAAGCACAACAGCAAAAAGTCGTATTTAATTATTTATTTAAAAGTTTTGCACTGCAAACATGAGCAGGAAAAAAATCTCTGGAGCAGAAAAAAATGGGGTGAATCAGTGGCGCTGGATTGCTGCAACTTGTTACAATAAATGTCATAAAACACAGGATACAGTAGCACCAATTCCATTCCTGTCTCTCCCAAACAACTGGAGTTTTAGTACATTCTTAACACTAACAAAAAAATTCCCCAGAGCTGAAGTGCTTGTCAAGTGAAGCTGTGTGTCAAGTTTCAGGCTGGAACACTCTTCTGGCCTGGCTGGCAAGATCTTAAAATAAGCTCTTGTTTGTTTTTTAAAGGATATCCTCCTTTCTTATGACATAACATGAAAAATGCTGCTGGACCACATTATTTTTCTAGCACAGTTTTTAAACCCAATGCTGCTTCTAGAACTATGCCATGGAATCAAAATATTTTCTTGCATCCAAGCTGCACTGAATGCCAGAGCAACTCTGATCACAAAGAAGAATCATTCCATGTTTATACACACAGAGATAAGTCAGCCACCTTAAAAAATCCCCCTTTTCCTTTTCATGTGATATTTGCCAACATCCATTTCACGGGAGCAGCTGATTTCTCCACACCATTCCCCAGTGTCCCAGCACACAGGACAGAAAACGCATATTCTGCAGAAAATATCTTTCCTTAGATAAGGCTGGGGGAAGTTTCCCCAAAGCCCGTAAAGATTCCACGTCACCCGATGAACAATAATGTTGTCAGGACTGCTCGTGGGGTCTTCTCAGCAACAGCCCAGACAGCAGCTAAAGCCTCACTAAAAGGGGTTTTTCGGCCTAAAATGCCTCGGACCAAACAGAGCCCGGAGAAAAAGCTCCGGTTGGAGCGTCCCCTGTCCGCTCCCACCGCTCGGCTCCGGTGACAAAGCCCCTGTGTCATTGCGAGCCACATTGCCGGGGAGGAGGGTGGGGTGAAAGAGGAGAAGGGAGGCACACAGGGGGAAGAAAAAAAAAATGCAGTCTACCAAATAGATGCAACCTATAATCCGTGACATTCAGTCCTTCAGCGGCTCCTCCTAAGATAAAACAGCTGCACCGCCTGCCTGCAGCCAACACCAGGGGCAGTTGTGGGAAGGTAAAAAGCTGGGATGAAAATCTGGGCTGCCCTCCTGGCTCCTTAATCACGATCACTGTCAACAGCTGAATAAAACACCCGGGCACCCCTGAACATGTCGTTGTAAGGCTGATAATTACAAACCGTCTAAAAGTAACAGCAAGAAAACACAAAACCTTCAATAAAAATAAACGGGCCAAAGGCCACGCTGAAATCCGTGAATGCGGCTCTGATTTCCAAACCTTTCGGATTCAAAACAAGGAGGACGCACCAATACTTCACCCTCCGTTTACATCAGCACCTCACCATCCTCCTGCCCAGCTCCACTTTCATTATTATCCGAAATAAATTAAATTGACTCAAGAACGCCTCGACACCGGCTGGCTCCGGACTCCAGGTCCCTCACCCGGCATCCGCAGACAGCATCCTCCATCCCGGCCCCCCATCCTCCCCGAGTCATCCTCCCTGCACCCCCATCTCCCATCCCCCGTCCTCCTCGCCTCAGGCCTCCGCTGCCACCGTGCCCCTCTCCCGAGGGCATCCTCCCCCTCAGCCCCCGGCCCTGCCCCGTCCCTCCCCTCAGCTCCCGCGGCCGCCTCACCTCCAGCTCGGTGTCGCCGGGCTCGGCCACCCCAATGATCTCGCTGGGCAGCTCGGCCAGGTCGGTGACCCGGATCAGCCCGTCGTGCAGGAAGATGGTCTCCTCCTTCACCGACAGCCACTGCGCCGAGTCGGTGGCCGCGGCCGCCGAGGCGGCAGCCGGGGACCCCATGGCGCGGAGAGCGGGGGGGCTCCGCAGGGCTGAGGCGAGGCGGGTCCCGCTACCCGCCCATGGCGGGGGCAGGGCGGGGGCAGGCGCGTCCCCAGCGGCCTGGACGCCGGACAGCCGGGGCGCGGCGGGCAGCAGCGAGGAGCGGCGCGTTGCCACCGCGGCGGCGGCGCTCCGGGGAGCTCCGGGAGCCGCCGTGCCCGCCCGCAGCGCCGCGTCCCGCGCCCGCCTCACACACACCGCTGACAGCGCGACGCCATGTTGGGGGCTGAAGCGGGCCCGGCGTGCACCGCGCGGGGAACAATACAGCCGGCCCCCTCCCAGCCCGCGGGGCTCCGCCCCGAGCGCCGGGACCGCCCTCAGCACCGGAGCTCCGCCCGCCGGGCCGCTCCCGCCGCGGCGTGTGCTCCGCTCGGTGCTTCATCCGCCGCCCGGTGCTTCACCCGCACCGCGTGTGCTCCGCTCGGTGCTTCACCCGCACCGGGCACGGCGGGGAGGATAGCAACCGCACCGGGAAGAGCGGGTCACCTGCACCGGGCGCAGCGCCGCGCCCGCACCCTCTCTGAGGGGAGCTTCACCCCGCTCATATCGCACCTCACCCACGTCAGGGAGAGCGGATCGCCCGCGCAGCGAGGAGCTCGTAAAACGCACCGGGTGTTCTCCCCTCAGAGCCTCACCCGGGGAGCGGCTCACCCGCCCCGGTGTTCTCCCCTCAGAGCCTCACCCGGGGATCGGATCACCCGCCCCGGTGTTCTCCCCTCAGAGCCTTTTCCTCGCCCGAGGAGCGGCTCACCCGCCCGGGTGTTCTCCCCTCAGCGCCTCGCCTCATCCCTCAGGGGTTGCTCCCCTCAGCCCCTAGGAACGGTCCCCTCAGGGCTTCACCTCTCCCCAGGCATTGCCCCGGGTTGCTCCCCTCAGCCCCTAGGAACGGTCCCCTCAGGGCTTCACCTCTCCCCAGGCATTGCCCCGGGTTGCTCCCCTCAGCCCCTAGGAACGGTCCCCTCAGGGCTTCACCTCACTCCCCTGGCATTGCCCCGGGGTCTCGCCCTCATGCAATGGCTGCTCCCTCAGCCCTTCACCTCCCTCCAGCTCGGGCCGAGAGCTGCTCCCTCAGCGCTGTTCTCCTCAGTTTCCCTGTCAACCCTCTTGGCTTGGCTTACTGGGCCGCTCTGAAACTCCCCATTTCCCTCCAGGGCTGGTTCCTCACGTTCTCCCTCGTTGTTGTTTCTCCTCTCCCACAGCCCTGCTCACCCCTATTTCATCTGTCCCCTCACAGAATGATTTCCCTTCCTCCCTTTCCCGTGCCCCACTCTGTCGCCACTTCACAGGCATCCTGTCACCTCTCAAGGAGCTTTTCCCAAAGAACTCATAAGCAAGCAGGTATGTGCCTTCAAATCTGTATGTATGGATTCCAGAGGCTGTAAAGCAAAAGCGTTGCGACACCTCAGTATGTGTGGAAAAAACATCCAGAGGAAAATTGATCCTTCTTTCTCAGCCTAATTTCACCCTCAGTCCCCTCAGACCTCGCCCTGAGCCCGTTCAGAGGCACAAAGTGTCACAGGCAGCTGTACCTGGATGTTCAGCAAAGGATGTGCTGCTGAGACAAATCATGTTAATGAGAAAGACGTGGTGATAAATGTTAAATAGTTTTAGTGGATAATTGCTGTGGGGATTCCCATTGCAGTGTCTGCTTTTCATGGAACAGTGACTGTGCACAACAGAACAGAGACAGAGCTCTATGCATTTATTTACCTGTTTGATGAGATTAAATTATTTAACATATTAGTGCATTATAACAAATGTGCTGTGCTATTGCAGGAAAAGCTTATTCAGAGCTGGAGTAAAATGAGATCTACCACCAGTGCTTTATAGCCTATTAAATCTGGTTGGGAAGAAGCATATTTTTCCATGCAATGGGTGACCACTCAACATAGGACCCACGCAAAGCCCTTTTGTAGCCCTGATTCAGCAGTCTGAGCACTCACATCATTGTGTAGCTTGTTTTTGAGGCCAGTTCAGTTGACACAGGGTTCAGGTAAGTTCAAACAAGCAGTAATTTAGAGATCTGTGGGATAGCTCTGTGCACTGTTTGGTGCTGTTCAGGTGCTGGAGAGTTAGAGGAGTCTCCAGGCTTGGTTTATTCTAGAAATAGATATTATTTGCCTCTGTGCAGCAATAATTTTTGGACAGGGAGAGTGTGCAGAGCTGCCATCAAAAGTTTTTATGAGGGAGAAGCTTCATGGGCATCTGTTATTTTTGGTCAAGCTGTGACAGAGAGAACAACGGCTGCAGACTGACCCTGATCCTCCCGTGGGAGCCCTGGGAGGAGTCAGAAGAGAGGGAATGCTGAGATTGGAAGATTTTGTGGCAGGTGGGACGTGGCAGCTGAGTTCTGGCAGGGGAGATAAGCCAGGCTCCTGAAGGTTCCTTAGAGCAAGAAAAAAAACTCCTGGGGTTGGATTAGTCACAGCATTTCATGGGGAGACAGCCACGGGTGTTATTGTTGTGTTCCCAGAGTGGGAGTTTGACATTTTTTTCATTCATCCACACGTGAGAGGAATAGAGGGAGAGAAACACAAAGTGTGTGTGCATTTCAGTGGGAGTAACACTCCACCAAAAAAGCATTCCATCTTTAGATCTTGTGGTACTATCATGGTGCTAGTTGAGTATCTTCCACAAAATCAACACAAACAGCACAGCTGGGAGTCAAATGGGATGTTCCCTTCACAAGCAAGGTGAAGGAGATTAGCAGAAGGGGTTTGCAGTGTTTTCCAGAGGTTTGGATGTACCTGTTCTCCAAAGGTACACAGGCTGGGTAACCCAGGCTGAAAATACTTTGTCTGCAGCTCTTTCCAAGGCCTCCTGGGCTGCTTTATCCCACAGGAATGTGGCTGCCACAGCAGCATCCAGATGGAGAATCTGTGTTTGATATGGCTGTGGATTCAATCCTCTGCCTTGGGATTGTTTGCAGATGTTTTGGAAGTCTTCCTTTTAGCCAAATCTGTGTGTAGTCTTCCCACGCTGAACAGAAGGGATATTCACCATTTTATAATTATTGATTTGCTTATTTGGAGTTCTTCTAATTTCTATTGACTTGACAATTCAAAGTTAAAATGCAGTTATTGAATGAAAGCAATGGAATAAAACTGAGAAACGTACCCTGTCCTGCCTCACTGCAGGTAAATAAAATAATTGCTGCTAAATGTAATTTCCTAAATTATTTGAAGTGCCTGCCATTCAGGAATTAAGAGTGTGTTGTACAATCTATAAACTTACATGGAATGCTGATGTAGCTTCCTACATGGAATTTTCAGCACTAGGGCTGTACTGGATGCAGCAAACTCCATGCAGTTTGCCTGGCATCTGCTGCAGAAGATGTTGTGTAATGGAATGAAAAAAATATAATATTTGTGTTCTGCCTGTCACCAGAAAATGTCAGCCACTGCAGCTTCAATGTGCAGTCAGAGGGGTACAGAAGCAACTACAAAGAAATCTTGGACTACTTTATGGGAAGACTTGAAAAATAGACCAGAATAACTTAGTGACACAGATCATCAAGCTGAAGGAATAAAACCCTCAACTTGTAAATAGGCTCCTACAGAAAACCACTCTTTAGCTTCCATTATTTTGCTTTTTTTTCCCATTGTTTTGGAGCAGAGTGTTTTGAGCTGCTGTGGTTGCCTGTGCCTCTGGTGGCAGGATTTTGGGATCAGCTCCTTCCTGTGAAGGTCTCCTGTGTCCTTGTGCTTCTCTGGACATCACAGATACTGAGATTTAGCAGAAGATGCTCATGGGCTGTGGGCAAAAATTCACTCCTGCGAGCTGCAAGTGGAAATTCCCTATTCCTGCTTGGAATTTGCCTATTATGTAATGGGATTTAAAGCAGCATTGTCTCACCCTTCAGTTTAATTTTACATTAACAGCTATTATGTGTGGGGAGAACTCTTTTCATCCCAAGGCTTTGCTGTGTATCTTTCTGTTCATTTAGAAATGACACTTTCAGTTACAATGACCATTGTGACACTAAGAAATGTGTGAAAAAGAAAAACAAGTTGCTATTTTTATGTGGTCTGCACTAACCAGATTTGCAGACCCTGAATACTGGCTCCTCTGCCTGGTACTTGTTATTTAAAGAACCCAAATGCCATCATTAATAAGGCCACTACCCAAGGAATACTGGCATTTCTTGGCAAATTATCTAGGATTAAAAAATACAGTTTCTCCAAGTAAAACTTAGAAAGGCTTGAAGTGGAAAAAAAAAATCAATGATTGAAAGAGGAGGAGGAAGAAACTAGACAGTGAAATAAAATAATTCCAAACCTCAGAAATGTATTTTAATTGCAAATGGAAATATTCACATTTTTCTCATTTAGAAGAGCAATAATTGCTGAAGATTGCAAGGTGGGTTTGAGGGAGGAAGAACAAATAGATATTTTTGTTAAAATGAATAAGGGCTATAGGAAACAAGAGTATGAATCACTACCTTGCAAAATTGGACAGGAAACAAATGTAAATTGTGGAATCACAGAATCTGGGAATCCTGGAATGGTTTGGGTTAGAAGGGAGCTCAAAGTCCATGGGCAGGGACACCTTCCACCATCCCAGGTGGCTCCAAGCCCCGTCCAACCTGGCCTTGGACACTTCCAGGGATGGGGCAGCCACAGCTGCTCTGTTCAGTCTCTTCCACTGTTGAATTGTCTTTACCTTTAAGGAGTTTCCTAATTCATTACTATTGCAATTTAACCCTTTCCATTTTCTTTTCCAGCTGTTGCAGACACAGAGAAGAGTTTATTTCCTCCCTCTCCTGCCGTCTTCACCCATGAGGGCTGTGACCAGAGTTCCTCCCCACCATCCCTGAACTAAATAATCCCTGATCTTTTCTTTGGGATTTCCTGCTCCCTTGGGGTGCTGGCATCTAACAGTGCTCTCCCAAATTTCAGGTCTCATTTTCTTACTCAAGTAGCCTTTTCTGGAAGTACCTAAGTGCTGCAGATCAGTGAGAAAGAGTGGCTGGGAGCTGAGCAGATCCCTGTGTGGTTGTCCTGAATTTTTGAATCTCAAATGTCTCAGAAGACTCATTATTACTATCCCAAAATAGGTAGGTTTAAATACAGCTATTCTGTGCCGGTTTAAAATTCAACCTTTCTGAAAACTGGTGCAGTTACATGAGGGATAAATAAATGGAAAAAGAATCTGCTACAATATTCTGCTCAATATTGTAAACATATAAATATGACAAGGTGGCATCTCTGGCTTCATATTTACCCCATATTTTACTTAAGGTTTTATTAAAAACCCTTGGAAAGAGAAAGTGTCATAAACTGGTTTTCTCTTAGCCTATCAAGAAATAATTTGAGTGTCTACATTTATATTTCAAGATTTTTCTCTGATTTCCCAAGTGATTTGTTGAAATACTAATCCTCCAATCCCTGTGTTTGAGGGATTCCCTCAAACAGGGATTGGTTCAAATACAGGGGAAATTCCTGTTACTTCACCCTGAACAAGAGCCTGTAATGGCCAAATTCCAGAACTGATATCCCTGGAAAAGTTCTCTCTCCCCATCTGGTCACATGCACACATTGGTCAAAGCTGAGATCTGGGCAGAGCTTCACAGATTATTTATCAAAAATGTTCAATCCTAATCAGAATAAAAAGCTGAAATTCTGGCATTTGCAATGTAACATTCCAGGGGGAAAAGTACATTTTGGGACAATTTCCTTGTCCTGGGCCGGGTTGGAGAGGGCTTGGAGCAACCTGGCATAGTGAAAGGTGTCCCTGGAGAGTCTGAACCAACAGGACACCAAAGCAAAGAGGGAAAACAGGATTTTAAATGAGGATTTTAAAAGAGGTGGTGCTTGAACTTCCATAATCTTTGTCTTTTACTTGCAATTCCTAAATCAGATGCAAGAGTGTGAATTCCTAATTAGCAGGTTTGCACCAGCATTGCAGCACTACCAACCCTTTTCCTGGTAAAGGAAAGCAGGGCAGTGAATCCCTGGCCTGAGCAAATGTTAGTCTGTGCTGATTTTCTCTTCAGTGGTGACAGGCATTCAAAACAAAGCTAAAACTGAAAGCCACTAATTGAGAGCTGAAGCCAAGCTGTGCAAAGTGGAATAAGTGGAATGGTTTTCCTCTGGGAAGAACAATTTTGCTCTCAGTGTGGTTCTGTCTTGCAGCTCTAAGTGCCCCCATCTGCAAAGGTGCTCTTCCCATGGAGCCTTCCTCCCTTTCCTTTCTTTCTTGCAGTATTTCTCTGGTTCTTTCCAGCGTCTCTTTCCTCTATTTCCAGCCAAGAATCTGCTTTTAAAAGAACAGTAATAACTATTATAAAATAAAATCCCAGGGAGTGAACACGGTGACAGGATATAAATACGAGGGAAACAAACAGAAGAGGCTGGAGATGTGTGCTGTGGTTTGGGGTGCTGCTGATTTATGTCAGTGGTGCAGCCCTCTTATGCTCTCTATCACTCATCTATTTTTCCCCATTTTCCTTCCAGCCAGATGGCACAAACCAGGAAAGGCCAAATAATTCATCATTCCACATTTAGGCTGGACTGGCCTCTGGGTGAAGCCAGGGTGGTTGAAAACCTTTTCATGCTGCTACAGTCAGGAGAGTTTCTCCCTTTGTGATGTAGAGGTGAGTTTATGGTGCTGCAGTGGAATGTCCTGTGCTTATAAAATCCTGGTCCTGATGGGAAATAGGAATTGTTTTATAAACCTTCACTTTATGCTTAACAACAGCACAGCGTTTCTTTAAAAAGAACACCACAAGGAGCCTACAGAGAACCAGGAAGAGCTAATCTTCAACTAAAATAACCCCACAAACAATCAATTAATCAACAGGAGCCCCAGAGCAGTGCTGTCAGTCACCCAAGGCCACCAGCATCACCCCCTCCATGAGATAATTTCCCAGACAGGTGACATTAGCCCAGCCCTCCTCCTGCAGCACAGGAACCACATTTTGGGTACTGGGCTCCATTCTGTTATCATGTGGCTCTTGATTGGGCCTGACAAACACATCAAAAAGTCATTTCTCAGGCTTGATTACCAGTCTGCCCAGGCTTGGGGTGGTGGCAATTGAATGACATGAAAAGTTGAAGCTCAGGGTGACAGGATGGGAAGAGTGATAGAAATTCTAATGAGAATTATAAATCCCGAGGAGCAGCTGCACTGCCTGGCTCACACTGGGACACCCTTCTCAGGCACTTGTGAAATCAGCAGTTATTTCAAGGGAGCCCAAACCACACAATTTGTGCTGTTATTTGAATTATTTTAATTCCATTTTTTATTCAAGCTGTCAGGCAGTTTGGGGATTAATAGGTTGTCTATGTTAGAAGGCAGTTACAGAATGATGTGAGACATTGCCTTGATGAAGTTCTGTTTAATTACAAAGCAGGCATGTCTTTCCTGGAGTGCTGGATTAAATAAACCTCACATTTTTATGCTCAGTGCTTTGACCAAAGCCAGGATTTGAACAAAAAAACCCAACCCTCTCGAAGTTTCTCTTGCATCAGCAGCCTCAAAAGGCAGTTTTCCTTTTTCTCCCTCTGTGCTCCTACTCTGGGTGTGTGTTGTCTTTTTTGTCTCCCACAAACACAAAGCTCCAGGTTTCCAGGATTTTTATGTTTTCATGAAGGAAGAATTCTGGTTTCCCACCAATACCTATGAAATTCCACGAAAGAGATCCTCCTTTCATCTCAGCAGGACATTCTCACTAGAAATTTGAATGGTGCCATAATTTTGAAGGTGCATCACTCTTTTTAGAGCCTTATTCTTAAAAATGCACTTCTTCCCTTGTGAACCAAGGCCTGCTTCTGTACATTTTATCTTGGGTGTTGTTTCCTCTTGTCAAAATGGCTGTTTTGAACAATAGGATCCCATGTACAGCACATGGTGATACTTGAAAGCCTTAATTTTAAAACCAATTACATCCTCAGGCATCTGTCAGGCCAGTGGAAAACCTCCAAATCCACTAGGACTGACAAAATGCATGAAGATGAAATTGCTTCTGATTTAAACTTCATTTTCTCCATGAGACTTAGAGCCTTTCCTTGTGCTCCTTGGGGTAACTCTGCATCCCACAGACTTGTTCCAATGGATTGGATAAATCATTTTACCTTTGTGTGGTTTCTTGGTGTTCTCATGGCAGATTTTGACCTGTGCTGGGTGTCACAAGGCCAAAGTGCTCAGCAGATGTAAAATATGTGAAGCTGGTTATGATCATCATTAAAACCAATCAGCAGGCAAAGCACCAGGACCTGTTAATTGGGCAGCTGAAGAAACACCCAATGGCTCCAGAGTTTCTAAATCTTTGAGCTCTACTGCCCTGTACAAATAAAACAGCCTAAATTCTGCAAAAAATGACATTAAAACTGATAAACAGGACTATGAGAAGATTTATTCTTTGTGCCACCTATGCCAGTCTTCAACACAGCACAACTTTTGTACTTTTTAGTCTGAAATGTTGATATGATCTCACAGAACAAGATCAGATTAATGGATCAGGTCCCCTCTCAGTGTCAGCCAAGCAGAGACTGCTTATTCTTTTATGTACTTCAGAAAATGGACTTAAATTTTCCATTTTCTGAAGTTGAAAACACTTCTTGAGACCAGACATGAGAAAGTATTTCTGCTTTCTGCAGTATGTGAGCACAGACCTCTCTGAAAATAAGCGGCTTGCTCAGGATCACACAGAAAATCAATAATGCTGAGGAAAAAAACATTGAATTTCTTTCATCTCAAGTCCTATTTTGACTACTATGCTTCCTCTCTCCTCATCACTATTACAACTAATAAGTGTTTATGTCTGATGGAGTGTGAACCATGCTTAGGTCAGAGAAGCTGCTGGCTCTGTGTGCAATCCATCATGCAAAGTCACTTCCCCTGAGATAAACACTGAAATAATGGGGAAAAATAGATAAAGTGGGCAAAAAAAGCCAGCCAGCTGACAAAAATGGGGTTTTTGAGATATCTGGGAGAGGGTTAAGACTGCTCTGATCTAAACATCCCAAACAAATAATTAAAAAGTAACTAAATAAAGATAAATGTTCTGGTTGCTGCATGGCACCCATGTCAAATTCCACATGCAACCATCCCAGACCCACCCTCTGCAGTCACTCAGGCACAGCCTGGCTTTGCTCAACCAGTGGCTTCCAGAACAAAACATAGCAAGGACTGTTATGAATCAGATCCTTATAAAAATAAGGATTTAATTGCTCTAACTGCTTAAGCAATGAGTTGTCAAGTGCTCAGTGCAGACTGCAATGCAGGAGAACTGGAGAAATCCAATTAACAGGTGAATAGTGGCTGGGAACCTCAGTTCCTCTTCCCAAACCAGGACAGGAGCTCTTTATGGTGCATCCATAGGATTGGCATTTATTTGATTATTTATTGAGCTTTTGGGGACATCCACAGTGAATTTCTTTGCAACAGTTCTGAACTCTGAGGAGAGGCAGGGCAGAGATCAGGTAGAAACAGGCTGGGAGAAAAAGGTTCAGCCTCTTCTTCATGACAAGGTACATCCTACAGCACAGATAGCTAGTCCCTGGCCATCTGGGAATTTGGCAAATTTTCCTCACCACTTGGCCCAAAAGGTGTGGGAGTCCCATAAAATCCAGCCAGAGCATTCTCTCTTAAGATTAAACCCAAGAGCGTCACAGCTGAAATGCCACAGGTAACTGTTCTCTACAAACTTGGCACTGCAAAGGACTTTGTCTTTATCTTGCACATCAGCCTCAGGTTCTCCTGAGGATCCTGGCCCACGAAGGATTCTCATTCCAGAGGCAAAGGCAGTGGCTGCTCCCTGAGCCCACTGCCTGCTGTGGCTGCTGGACAGAGCCACACTGGGCTGGAACTGCAGCCACCAGGTCACTACACAGCTGACAGGTAAAAACAGGTGCCTGGAGATAACAAGGCGTCACATCTTATTATCAATTCCCTGGGAAAGCCAACATCCCTCTCTCTTTCCTCTCCAAAGGATGCTTTATTATAATTACATATCACTTTATTAGGCAGCTGAAGCAAAGAGCACATTTGATGCTAATGAAGTGCTGCTGTGGTTGAGGCTGTCACTATTTTTGGAGCTGCACATCTCCAGCACTTTTCATTGGGTGATGGAGGCTTTGGATGTCTCTGGCTTCTTCTGTGGGGGCTGCCCAGGAAAAAGCAGTGACTCAGCGAGCCCAGCTGCAGAACTGTTCACATGGAATGGGAAATGCTGGGGACAGCCAGAACACACACAAAGGCTCTTTATGTGCTGCAAGTCGTGCTCAGGTAGGGGCCAGCATTATCTGGATTTAAAAAATCCCTCTGTGCTGGTCACCTGCACAGGCCTCGTTTTTCCCGTTTTCCACCCCTCACCCTGCAGCTTTTCAAAGGCAGATTTCACAGAACTAGGGAAAATATTTGGGAGGTTGGAGATAGACACATCACAGCTGATCACTGGCTGTCTCTCCTTATGAAATACAAGGGGTTTGGCACCTCCGTTTCCTGCAGCAAAGCCTGAGAAGCCGCTTGGTCTCAGGAAGGCAGAATTTGGTGCTCCAATTTCTCCTGCTCCCACATCCCTTGGTGTGACACTGGCATCCAGCTGGGCCAGTGACTCAGCTCAGCCACTGACAGGAGCAGAGATTCCACCCTCCCTCCCTGCCTTGTAGGGTGTGTGACTGTCACCACCTCATCACACAGGTGACAGGAACAGGGCAATGGCAGCACTGCTCCAGACCAGCATCTGTTGATAACCAACTCCCATTTCCAAATCACTTCCTGACAGCGCACTGCCAGACAAAGCCTCCCCTCCCAGCAAACAAGGTTAATGGTTCCAGATGTCTCGTGATCCACAAAGCAGGAATGTGTCAGAGCAACCAGGAATTCCTGAGAGCACCACTGGATCTCCACACCCGACTGGTTTTGGGGCTATTTTGTTACTGCAACTTCCCCACTCCCGGAGGGAAGGGAATGACTGGAGCATTAATATGTCCTGCAGTTTTCCCTCAAGAGCACAAATGTGGCACTGAATTTGGGGTTGCAGACTACAATACCATGTGCTCATACAAACTCTTCTTATTCTCCTTGCTGGATGAGGCTTTCCCCATTTTGTTGTTTCCACACACAATTTCTAATTTAAGTGAACTTTCTAAGCATATTTGGTGAAGGTTTTTCTTAGACCTAGATTAGGAATAACAGGGAGATGTGTACAACCCTTCTGAGCTGATTTGTATCAACAGGCCATTCCCAGCTCCCTTTGACTTAAAAACCTGTGACTAATCCCATTATCCAGCAAAGCATACACAAAAGAAGATGTAACCAAAACCAGACAAAATTCCAATGTCAGGGAAAATAAAGAACACAGGGCAGAACACAGCACAGAGCAAGAGACTCCTCTCAGCCAGGCCAGGAATTCTGCACAGGACACAGCCAGCTCACTGCCTCCCTCTGCTGAGCCTCACTGATACTTCAGAGAGAATTCCAGGCTGCTTTGGCTTGGAAGGGACTTCACAGCTCATCCTGTTCCAACCCCTGCCCCTTCCACTATCCCAGGGTGCTCCAAGCCTCGTCCAACCTGGCCTTGGACACTTCCAGGGATCCAGGGGCAGCCACAGAGATCCTCTGGGCACCCTGTGCCAGGGCCTCAGCACTCTCACAGGTAACAATTCCTTCCCAAAATCCCACATAACCCTGCCTCTAGCAGAGGGAAGCCATTCCCTGTCTCCTGTCACTCCAAGCCTCGTCCCAAGTGCCTTTCCAAAGGGCACTACAAAGGGCTTTAAGGTCTCCCTGGAGCCTTCCCTTCTGCAGGCTGACACCCCTCAGCTCTCCCAGCCTGGCAATTGCCAACAGGAAGATGGTGGGAATGCCCCATGCTGTCACCTCAGACACTTCAACACCCACCAGCACCAGACTGCAGCCCCTTGCTGCAAACCAGGTACTCCAGAGGTGTCCAAGTTCTTTCACTGCAATTCCTCTTTCCCACCGAGCGTGGCTTCCACCTCAGGGAGGGCTGTATTGCTCTCTTCTCTATCCTGTTTTCATGGAGCCTGGGTGAATTTGTTGAAATCTCTATTTCTCATCAAGCCTAACCCTGTTGGCTAGCTCAGCCCAGAATTACTGGGCAGACAGATGGTGCAGTTACATAAACCTGGATTCCTGCAGAAGTCTGGCTAAGGAAGAGCTCCAGAGTGCCAGACTTGATGAACTGTACATCCCTAGTTTGTGTAAGAACATTGATTTCTGCTGAGTTCAACACAGCACTAACCTTTTCCACTCACTTTCAGAAACACTTTTGTCCTGCAAAACTGTGGAGTATTCCCAGCATTTCCATTCAAAACCAAAGCATAGCTCCTGAAATACCTCAAAGAAGCTATTTATTAGCTGAAGTTCAGCACAGACATATTTTGTCTTGATTTTATCCTGCACTGTGTCCAGCATCAGCTGCTATTCCCAAACCAAAATCTGTTCAGGATCCCTTCCCAGCTTGTTCAGAGTTAAGAAAGCTGAATTCCTACTTATGTTAAATAGTTAAAGAAATCCAACAACCACCACAAAACTACAACAGCCAAAACTCCTACACCCCAAACTTCTCCAAAATCTGGTCAGTACCTACAGCCCCTCAGAGTTTCACCCCACTGCAACAAGCACTGCCAGAGCCATGCACCACCTGCTGTAACAGACTGCAATGAACACACCACAAATCCTTGGGTTTTTTTTTTTTTGCCCTTGGAGTTTAATGTGGTGCTTCCAGAAGGCTCAGAACACCAATTTGTGAGGATAAACTCCATTTGAGAGAGAGAATGTGGAGCGCAGGTACCCCCGGAGCTGAGGCACCTTCTTGATCCGAGCCAGGATCTGGGAATCCACGGCCTTCTGGTCTGTCTTGCGCTGCTCCGTCAGCTCATATTTCTGCAAAGCACAGAGAACAACATTAAAATCCTGGGAGCAACTGCAGGATCCTTTAGAGAGAGGAGGAAATTCAGAGCAAACCCTGAGTTTTGGGATTTTAAAGAAATATTTCCCCCATTCGTTCTTGATAATGGGAAGGTGGCAGAGCATTGAAGCATTCCTTGGAGCCAACACTGACAGCATTTCTTGGTCAAAAAAAGACATTTAACTGGAACAATAACTCCTCCTCAGAAAAATCCCCACATTTAGAAGGGGGAATACTTCCTTTTAATGGCATTACCTCACTTTATTAATGACCACTTAAAATCCACCTGGCTTTTTTCCTGCTAATTTCCTCTTTCCAGTGTAGCCTGGAGCATTGTGAAAGAAGGAAACCACCCTGTCCCTTACTTCTTTCTCAGTGTCAAAGATCTCTCCTTCCTGGTGCTTTGGCTTCCTCAGCCTCTTCTTCTTGAAGTAGGAATCCGTGAGATGCTTGGG